AAACATCAGGATGTTATCATTCCTGCACAGACAAAACAAGTGTTTTCTACTAGGATTTGACACTTTGATTTCGTTTTGGCCTATGAACTTGTATAAAAACAGTAGTGATTGCTTTCAAAGAGAACCTTTCAGCCAGGGCTGAGAAGAGTGGGTTTCAGATGGCAGAGGAGAGAGGAGAATTACTGGATTCATAAGCTGAGACCTTTAAGTTGAATAAAGAGATGATGAAAACTTGTTCCTACATCACCAATTATCACGGGATTTAAAAAAAAAAAAAATTTCTGTTTTATATGACTGTCTTGTGAAGCACCTACATTGTCTCAGATTGTTCCTGCGCAAAATGTACTGGTGGTACCCGGGGAGCACGGAGAAAGAAATGTAAAAAGAAACCTGAAAGAGCTAGAAATGCCCTACCCTCTTTTCATAAATATCTGCATCTTGATAGCAAAATTCCATAGTGGGAACAGAAAAACAGTCTTTGGATGTGGCAGAAGTTTCCAGAATGTTCTCTTTACCTCCTCTCTCTTTATTTTCTAAGGTCCAAGTGGTCCTTTCCAAAAACTATGAAATAGATTTTCCAAAATGTGTGGAACAAAGAATTGGAAAGTAAATTTTGCATGCTGGTGATTAACAGGCAACAGAAGAGGGCTGTTGGAGACAAAGAGCTGTATCTCAAGCTTCTTTATCTCCAAGCCCAGCTCGTGCATGGGGTGGGCCCGCCATCCCTGGGAAGATTGCCCACAGGGCAGGACTTTGGGCAGCACCTCACGCCATTGGCATCTTACCCTTTGTGACGAGGTTTTGTGCAGATCAGTGCTCATATAAGCTTATGTTCCCATAACCCACATTTCCCAGATGCCAGGGCAGAGAGCCAGATGTGTGGTTGGAGAGCAAAGAGCCAGCGTTGGCTGAAAATTTAGCTCCACCCAGGTGCCTTAGAGTTCACAGAGGGTTTTAAGCCTCTAGGAATCATGAGAAAGACATTTAATGTGCTATTAATCTCACTAGAAAGAATATTGACATCTCAAGATACTAACGAAGCAGAAAGATGACATTTTCCCTATTTTTGTGGCTTTGAAATAAGGAGAAAAATTCTCTAACTCAGCCCTTGCTTCAACACATACCAGAAAATATGTATTTTTTATTCATTTGCTCTGACTAAACCTACAAAAAAAATTTTTAAAGTATTGAGAATTTAGTTTATGCCTTGAACAATCAAGATACAAGTGGTATAATAAAATTCCACAATAAGATGCATTTGGATATAACACCACTGGTGGCTGACTCCCATCCTCTGCCCAGCCCTGTTCTGAAACAGGATGAGGAGACGGAAGCTCTTCCTAGGGTGCAGGACAGGGGAGGCTGGGGGGAAACTGTCTTGTAATCATTTGGGACATTCCTGGTTCCACTACAGTCAATGCAAACATTATAGTTTCACTGTCTTTATTTTTGTGCTTATTGTGACAGTGCACACCTGCTGAAGAAGTTTTCCATAAACCTCATAATAAAAGGACCCTGTATTTTTTTTTCTTTTTTTGCTGAGGAAGATTGGCCCTGAGCTAACATCAGCGCCCGTCTTCCTCTATTTTGTATGTGGGACACCGCCACAGCATGGCTTGATGAGTAGTGTGTACATCCGTGCCCAGGATCCGAACCTGTGAACCCTGGCCCACGGAAGCAGAGCACGTGAACTTAACCACTACACCACTGGGCCAGCCCCAACCCTGTATTTTATACTGTTTAATTGTTTGGACCTGCATCATTGTGTTATGGTTGCTTATACTGTATTTTCAAGTAGGTATGTCACTGATATAGGCATTGCAGGGTTTGCCTTCCTGCAGCCTCTCCAGTGCTCCCGGTTTTCTGAGGTATAAGATGAGACGTGTCAGAAGTGCCTCTCCCTAGAATTCAGATGAGAGAAAGCAGTCACATGCCTCTGTCGCAAAGGACAGCATAAAATACTCTTGTGAATTCTGTACTGGGAATCCTAATAAAGTGCATTACTCGATATTTCCTTTTGGGGCCTAACATCTGGATATCTCACGGGGGTCCGTAATGGCAGCTGGTGGCCTTGGCTTTGTATGTAAGCCCCCCTTCTCCCACCCCACACACGCCCTCCTCATGGTTCCAGAGTATGTGTATTTCCAGGTCTCCTTTGGGGTATGAACTGGCTCAGCACATGTCCATAGTAACCACACTGCTCTGAATGTGATTCTTTCTCAACGTTGGGGGTCCCTTCACTTAAAACCAACACAGCCAGGTGCACACAGCCATGGTAAGGAAAATGTAAAGCAGGAGAAGGGAATTCAGATGCCAACAAGAGGTGCAAGAGAGGAAAATCTGGAAAGAGTCAGAGTTAAATAGTGCAGCTCCAGAACCCAACTGCCTGGGTTTAAATTGTGGTTCTGTCACTTACTCTCTGTGTGTCCTTGGGCAAGTTTCTTAGCTTTCTGTGCCTCACTTTCATAATCTGTAAAATAGGGGGTAATAATAATACATAACTCATGGGGTTTGTAGCAATTAATTAAAGTTCTTGGCACATAATTAGATTTCCCTAAAAAGCACTTATTACTATTATTATCATCATTGTTCTTGTCCCTGAGTGAAGAACTGGAAATCATGAAGTTTTTCCAGTTGTATTAGTTTCTTAGGGATGCCACAACAAAGTACCACAAACTGGGTGGCTTGAAACAGTAGAAATTCATTCTCTCACAGTTCAAGAGGCCAGAAGTTGGAAATCAGGGCATCGCTGGGTTGGTTCCTTCTGGAGGCTCTGAGGGAGAAACCATCCCACGCCTCTCAGCGTCTAGCGGTTGCCAGCAATTCTTGGTGTTCTTGGCTTGTAGACACATCACTCCAGTTTCTGCTTCCATCTTCTCTGTGTTCCTGTGTCTTCTCTTTTTCTGTCTTTTAAGGACACTTTTGTTGGATACAGGGCCCACTGTAATTCAGTATGATCTCAGCTCGAGATCTTACCTTAATTACATCTGCAAAGACCTTTATTCCAAATAAGGTCATATTTTGATGTTCTGGGTGGACATGAATTTGGGAGCAACACTATTCAACATGCTACACCAACTAAGAGCAAGTTGTGATCAAATCAGAGGAAGGAATCGTGAACAGCTCCTGGAAGAATGTTATCTACTCTTGGGCGTGAGGTCTGTGCTCTGAAAGGGCTGTGTTATGTGGGTGGTCAGTCACGAAAAGGGACCAGCTTCCCTCAAGGTCAACACTGAGTCAGAACCAACCACCAAACAGCGAGTTAATCGGCGTCCTCTCCTTTAAACTGTTGCAGACGTCTCTGGAGAGATGTTGAATGTCCCTGGCAGGGACAGGCTGCACCCATCAGGCAGCACGTGTGGTGAGCTCTTCCCCTGCCCTCTCCAGACACTCGGCATGCCGCGATTTAACCCCCTGAATGCACTCTGACACTGGGTAATGCAATGAAAAGGACAAGGCCTTTGGTGCCTCAGGGAACCGGATTTTAGTAACATGCTCTGCAACTTACTAGCGCCGCTTACCACCTTTGGGCCCCAGACAGTGTACTTACGTTCTCTGAGCTGCAAATTCTGTGTCTAAAAACTAGACATCATATCATCACCAGCTTGTAGAGTTGCTATAAGTAAGAAAACTAATATATGCAGAAGCTTCACCTAAGTCCCTGGCATAAATTTCAATGAGTGGTTGCTATTGTTATCATTACCGTAAGGTGGTAGTTCTGTCTTACTGGGTTTGAGGGAAAGCAGGCCAGAGGGACGGTGAAGAAGAGCTGTGTTGACCCGTCACCTCTTCCTCTACCACCGCCTCCACTCCCAGCACACGATAAACCGAGTCAACATGCAGTAAACGCTAGTTTAAGTAAACGTCTCAATAACTGCATTCCAAATGTAAGCACTACTCCAGTGAATGCACCTCCAGTAGCCTTTCAGGATTTTGACCCCAACCAGGGAAGCCCATGGCAAACTCTCTCCCTTTCATGACTTAGCAGGTGAACACTGGGCAGAGCAAAGGCAACAGAAAGCAGTATTAGTCCTTCATGGTGCACTCATCTCTCATGAGTGCATTTGTATTACTTTATTTACTTTATTACCAAGGTAATACATGTTCATGTAGAAATTTTAGAAAATATAGCCATGCAAAAAGAATAAAATCATTCTTAATCCCAGATAGATATATAGATTTTTTCTTTAATAATATATTGTGCCAGTTTTCCAGTCACTAGTCTTCAAAGTCATTTTTAACAGTTTTCTAATATTCCTTTATACAAACCTACCAATGTTTATTTAACCCATCCCCTACTCCAGGAATTTTAACTTATTTTCAATATTTTGTTGCTGAAAACAAAGCTGCAATGATAGGAGCTTCTTCCTTATTAATTTTATAAATTCTCCCTAATTTGGTATTTGCTGTAATCCCCTTTTCCAAACTTTGCAATTAACCCAAGAGTTAATTTGTTCAGTTTATGAGCATAAACTCCAATTATTATCCGATCTGAAACTCTCTCAGCTTTGGCAGTGTTATCGCACGCAAGCGCCCTCCTGGGCTGCCTGTGACTGAAGAGAGGTCAGTGTTCTCGGGTCTGACTGCTCACCCACTTGTTCAGGGCACAGGGCTAATGGGGTCAGCGTTACAGGTTTCAGTCAGTTCAGTGTCCAAAGACTGTTTCCCTGACTCCAAACAGCTGTTATTTAAATGCTGGCTGTTCATTTCAAAAGAACTCGGCAGAAGAGCATGGGTGGACCAACACAAATCCTTCCTCACCACTGGAAAGACAATGTGTCAGCAGCCTCATCTTCCCCATGGGAAGCTCAGAAAGGTATTCATGTCAAATCACATAAAATTGATGAGCCTGTAGAAAAAGAAGAAAGAACAATATTGGGGAAAATGTATCTTGATGTATGAGTTTAGTCTGTGAGTCCCCTCTAGTCTTGTTGAGACAAATGCAACACATGTTTTAAATTGCTGGTAGTGGTGGTATTTAATGCAGTTTTCTTTTGCAGCTGACATGGTCCTTGGCACTGACGATGTCTACGATGAAAAAGGATGCCAGTGTGATGTGTCAGTGGAAGACCTTACTCCACCGCTCAAAACTGTCATTCGGGCCATCAGGTTGGTGGAAAACCTTTGACAAAATGATTCTGAGTCCTCCCTCTGATTATTTGAATTACTATGTTGCTAAGTTCTTTTCCCTGCAGGTGAGACTCTGGGAATAATTATTTTCTCTTTTCCTATTCATCCACATGTCTATTAAGTTCTGAAATATTTTTTCTTAATACAAAACTCTACTGTGTTCAACATAAAGTATGTTACAAAAGGTGGGTGGGATTTGAAAAGCCAGGCTGTGCCAGAGAGATTACATAAGAATTGACTTGTCATGTGTATTTGTTGCTTTAAGGACATTTAATGTATAGATGCAATTGGATTTTTAAAATTATTTTTATTGATTTTATGCTCCAATCCATGTTCTGTACTTTGTATCAAATAAAAAACCCTCTAGGTTATTTCAAAACAGGTTGAGTTCTGAAAATGTGAAACCTGAAGGACTCTGCAATGAGTTCCTCCCATCCTAGTAAAACGCAACCATTGAAAGCTAATCTTAATATGTTTCCTCTCCTAATGACAGAGAGCTAAGCGAGTACCCAAAGCAACTTACACTTAGATCTCCAGGATCCACTCCCCACAAGAAGTCCTGGACCTGGCTTAAGTGAACTGCTGCATGCTCACCCTGCCCAGTTTAATTCCTTTGGGAGGACTTGTATCTGCCAGGGAACGCAGAGTGACTGTATTGCAAAGAAATATCTCCGATCTTTTTGGCTCTTTGTGTCTCTTAACAAAAGGTCAGAGGAAAGCTTAAAATATCAAACCCAATTTAGGCATTCCAACACTTGGTCTATACTCAGATATCAGTATGATTGATTATTTACTTCTGTTTTTAGTTGGTCATTTAGCGTCATGTTACACATTGCTTTACCTCCTGGTTGGGAGTCTCTGGGAAAGCAAAAATGAGTTATAAAGATTTTGGTAAATATTTATGCGGGCAATACATGATATGATGAAAACGTGTACCCCAGAAGATGCTTAAACACTGTCTGTAACAGCAACCTCAGAGGAAGTGAAGTGAAGCCCCATTCCTTTCCAACAGAACCTTCCAGCAACAATCCCTGTGGGTGGGGGCACCACACCTTCTACGTGCCTTGGACCATCCCAGATTATGCATCTCGTCTCATCATAATTGTTAGTAACACTCCCTGTCTTCCTCAAAGTACCCCAGTTTGGACAATTTTATGATCACCCTACCCCTGGGGAACCTAGACGCTTTGGGTAATATTTAATCCTAGAAAACCTGAGGATATGTAGTAAAATGATGCCTGAAGACTTCAGTTAAAGGGATAGAAAGTATCTATCTGCACTGTCCAATATGGTACCATTGGCCACATGAGGCTATTTAAATTTGAATTAATTAAAATCAAATAAAATTTAAAAGTTAGTTCATCAGTGGTCCTACCTGCATTTAAAGTGCTCAATAGCCAGAGGCAGCTAGTGGCTACTATATTGGGCAGAGAAGATGTCGTACATTTCCATCATTGCAGAAAGTTCCATTGGACATCACTGGTCTAGAAGTTACCTTGAAATTCTTTACATTCATTATATCCATCCAAGACCCTAAAGTCAAGTGGGGCAATTCTACAGATTAACCTGACTTGCAACAAGGACTGTAAAATTTTATCTAATGGGTGCAGATTAGGTTTCCTAAAAGTCATACTTAACCCAGTTTGTGTCATTTCCCAAGGCCTTATGAAGCATTCTGCTTTTGCCTTATAACTTATAAAAAGAATTGTGAACTGCAAGAAAGAGTGAAATACGCTTATTCCGCTGCCTGAGCAGGTCAGCAGCAGCTGAGACGGACTTCGTTGAACCTTCCTTTCGACACTTGACTGATTTTTGTAAAGTCCTTTGCAGACTTCCTTGCTTTTTAGAATTCTTTCTTGGTTCTTGTTTTTAACAGAACTTTATTATTTACATGTCTCGCCTTTTGGTGGATTTTGGAAGCTTTCTGCCTGCTACTTTGTGACACTTGAGGGGGATGTTTTTCTCCATCGTATCCTGATTCTGCTTAGTGGGTTTTGTTTTTATCACTTCTAAGTCCCATTTAAAATTGTTGCATTCTGTAAGAATAAAACTGCTACACTCGATAACTTAATTGAAATCTTTGACTCATGGTAGTACTTAGTTTCTAAATATATGTGATTAAAAGACCAACAATACAATTAGCAGTTCTGAAAAGGAGTTTACAGGTATAAGTCCCTGAATCTTATGCAGAAGTGTCCTTTTCCTGAGTTTAAATACATAAATAAACTGAACATCTGTTGACCGTTTTTTTTTTTTTTTGCCAAAACACGCCCCCCTCTTGCAGATCACCTGAAATACTTTTTATATGTATATTACTGAGTGCAAGTGTTAACCATCTATTATTAATCTCTAAAGTAACCACTTTGTATTGGCATTTTCCTTGCTATGTTTTGGTTGTTTGATTATTTAATATGACTACTTGCTTGTGCCTTTTGTCTTTCAGTAACTCTTACAATAATAACAGTTTTCCCTAAGAGTCAAAATTAAAAGGTGTAGAAAATATGTATTCACTGTAAGGATGACAACATGGGAAATAATATTATTACATTCACAAAGAGCAAAGTAAGAATTCTTATTTTTGGTTATTAATATTTACTAAGCATCTGTCATTTTTTAGTTGTTTTTGAGACTAAAGATTCTCAAACAACAAGATGATTAAGGCCACTCTCCAAATGTGTCTGGATTCTGTTACACAGATACACTTTGATACTTTTTTTAAATGAATGACATTACTTTTATAGTAGTGAACAATGGCTATTCTTAGACATTTCCATATGTCTTAAAAGAGAAAAGAATACTTAGTTTTGTAGAGTTCCTCAGGATTACCACAGATTATTCTCAAAATATTATTTAGTGCATAAAGTTGCTGGAAATTTGCTTTCAAAGTCATCTCTGGGAGTGAAGACTGTACTTATTTTTAACAAAAGTTCTATATCTTGTTAATGATTTAATTCACACGACGTTAAGTTTCTTTTCATCCATTCATAGACATTAATTTCTAAATTAATTAGCAGGGAAATAAACAGATTGACAAGCAAATTGATAAACTCTTGAACATTCTGCACACGCACTTTTCACTATATTACGGCTTATTTGTTTGTGAGGGCTGCCATGCAAAATACCACTTGGTGGCTTAACCAAGAGAAATGTACTCTCGCAGTTCTGGAGGCTTGAAGCCCAAGATCAAGGTTTTTCCTGAGGCCTCTCTCCTTGGCTTGCAGACAGCCACCTTCTCGTTTGTCTTCATGTGGTTTTTCCTCTGTGCACACACACTTCTGTGTCCAAATTTCCCTTTCTTATAATGACACCAGTCGGATTGGATTAGGGCCCACCCTAAGGGGCTCAGTTTAACTTCGTCACTTCTTTAAAGGCCCTCTCTCCAAATACAGTCACATTCTGAGGTGCTGGGTTTTAGGGCTTTAACACATGAATTTTGGAGGCACACAGTTCAGCCCATACCACATGGCAAAACACCAGTTTTCCTATCATTGTTTGAAAAATATTTTCTCAGGCACAATATCAAAATTTTCAAATTAAAATAAGCCCATCGATAACCTGGATATGTGCCTTCACAATATTAAACATCTGAATATTTGGGAATCTCTGAAGACACCTACTGACTTTCAAGCTTGCACTTGGCATTGTCTAAACACTAAGTGAGTAAGAATCGGGCAAAATTCCAAGGGCAAAAATTAATATAAGTTCATTTATTTGAAATAATAAATTTTAAAAGTCATATCCAATACAACTCTATATTTATAAAAGGGTCTTATAATAATAATTTTTAAAAATACAAAATAAATGTTTGTATTTGTTTTCCTGTACCAAACTAGCTAGATAAATTCTCAGATATGCACAGAAGGCAACATACAAGTGCTGTGTTAAGCCCTGGGGAGAGGGCATTGTCTGTGAAAGCATCTCAGTGCAGAGCTTGCCTGCTTCTTACCAGCACTTTTTCACAGAATCACCACATCTAGGATCAAGGCCACTCTTCATCAGATCTTCAACAGGTGTTCTCTTGTCAGCTGGTTTTATGCAACCGTGTGTTTTGTCAGTCGTCAAGAAATGAGTCAGAATACCATACAACCTGCTCTTCTTGCGAAGACAACCAAGGCAGCCCGCGGAAGACTGTTCACTGTTTGAAGAGAAATGGTGGAGAATTGTTGGAGGTATCGTGTTCTCAACCTCTCCTCACCTCTCTGTGCGGCAACCACCCTGCCAGTTGAGGATCACTTGTGTGCAGGCCCTTGTTTTCCAAGCCAAGTCAGCCTTCTAGAGAATCAAATGAGTAAATTGGGTCTGGGGTGAAAACTCAAAGAATTCTTCAGTTGAAGCTGCCCCCGACTTCACTCTGGCATCGCCAGCTAATTCTACCCCCACTCCCCGCCCTCCCGGGAGCTACTCAGGAGAGGGGCTCCAAGAAACACGGCAGCCTGTGTGTGCCCCTGAGCCACGCACGTCCCTTCTCTGTGCCTCATCTCCTCATTGGTGCAGTGAGGTGGTCATGGTCTTGACTTTGTGGGGTTGGGTGAGGACTCCATGGATTAGCACTGGCAGAGCACTTAGGGCAGCGCCGGGCATGTGGTCAGCATCGCGGAAATGCCAGCTATCCTAACCTGCCGGCGTCTGGGCTCTCAGTGCCTTCCCAGCATGCGGCCTCCATGGCCCGTCCTCTGCTCAGGCCAGACCCTGTTCATTCTGAGCGCCACCTGCTCCCACCGCCCATCGCACATCGTGTCAGAGGGCACTTCTTTTCTCTCTTCCAAGGGCGTGCTCCCAACTGCCAGTCTGCAGCCTTGCCTGCCTCACTCCCTTCCCCGGAAGCCCTCCTTGTTTCCCCTTGAAGTCTTCTCCTCACCACCCGTGCTGAGGAGTCGCTCGGAGTAATGCCCCTTGGGGCTGGAGGAGCATTCTCCACCGACTGTGAGGCAGGGTTCCCAGTGGACCTCTCCCACTCGTCCTCTGGGTGAGCTTGCTGC